ATAATGGCATCAAATGCAATTGGTCTACTAATGTTATTAATAACATCCGAAACTAAACGGTCACCATCTACATCAGCCTAAAAAATACAAAACTTCACACATGGTATACATATTTACTTGCCAATATTAAATTAATGTTACTACTATTACCTGAAAATAAGTATATTTATAAACTTCTCCACCAGTTAATCTGGCAATTTGTCCTATTGTCGCAAGATCCACATATGAATTATTGAAAACAAACAAATCTACAGAACAACCCACACCTACGCAATCTTGACCTAGATTATTGTAAACATTATTTTGTGGTGCTGAAAAGGAAAGTGAATTTTTGGTTAAAAATTGGGCATAATATTAACTTAGAAGTAATGAAACCAATTCACCTAATACAGTTTTCTCTTTCTCTGTTCCAAGTACTTTACGATCATCACGATTTTTCAGTTTACCAGGTGCATCAGCAATGGGTAAAGAAGAATGGAAAACCATTAATTTCCCAGAGCAATCTGAAGCCTTAAAATTTTTTATTAAAATTGTAATTGGTTGATATATTTCATAATTGTTTTATCTCATACTGTGTATTGTAAAGATACCTTTAATGCTTCTAATCCGGCCTGGATGGCTGGTGCAAGAATTGTTTCTGTTTCACGTGTGTCTGCAAACATTGCTGGTATTTGTGTCATTAAACCATCAATAACAGATTCGCTTTCTTCGACATCGCATAAAAATCCATCAAGAAGTGGCATAAAAACGTCTTGTACGTCCCCCACAACCATCATTTGTGGTTGAGCAAGGCAGGAATTAATATTGTAAAAGTGCACCGTATTATTGTACGTTATAAATCCTACTTTCATGTTCGTTTTTGATTGACCAGCGTCAACGGGTAAATGTCGCAAGATTGACTTCATTTGCATACATAATAAATTAACTAAACCAGATTTAACTGTGTTGTATGATACATCAATCACGAACACAATAGCTGGTGGTTTTGGAAAAACATTGTTCTAAAATGAATATTTCAAGATTAAGGTAATAGAAAGTGTTATAATAAAATAGTCTTTTAATCAATATCTTACTCTGCAGTAATCTTTAGTAGCAATATATTCATATGTTCCTAACATTAATTCTGGTCTTTCATAACGATCCATACGTTGTCCAGTATGATCCAGATGTTGGAAATACTCTGTTGGAACTAAATTCAAAACAAAAAAAGACTAACAATTGTATCAAATAAAATATGCTAAGAAAATAAATTTGTACCTTCAGTTGTTGCTTTACAAAACATGCATTGGAATCTTCTTCCTGCATCAATAAATTGCATAAATGGACTCATATATGCTTTACATCGCACACAGCGCACTGGACCAATTTCACCCATATCTACAATAGGTGGTTCGTATTCTCCTTCCGCTATACGAGCCATTGGACTTACTATTAGACCAAATGGAACATTCGTCTGGAAAGGAAAATTATTTTGAGGTTTGTACAAAATTAAATTAATGATTTCACGTACACATAAATTATTCAACGTACTTGTTTTATAATATCTGCTGTGGTAGGAACAGTGTACATAGTAGATCTGATATATCTAGGCGATGCATTACCTTGATCCTGCGTTATGAATTTGGTGGTTACTAATGGCGGAACCAATCCCTTTTGATTTGTTAAGAATACACCACCTTTTACACGTTGATCATCTTGAATTACTTGAATCTTTAAAAATATGTTTGAGGTTATTTTAAAGAACCAAACTGTAAGTTATGACAATTTCATATATAATTTCTTACCGGACTTGGCATTTGCTCAGGATCTAAACGTCTAGTTTGTTGTGGTTGCATACCTGGCTGATATCCACTCGTTACGCCTGGTGAAATACCTGGATATGAACCTCTTTGAGCATTATACATATCCTAAAACAAGGAAACAGATTTGTAATAAATAACTTCTAGTAATTTTAATAATTATTACTTTCAGAAACAACGTACGTTATTATAGCCTTGATATCCTGTATGTTGATAGTTGATAGGCATTGCATTGGGTGAGCTACGACTAACTCCTACAGGATTTCCCATATGTTGTCCCTGCATTGGTGGTCCAGATGTGTATGGTCTTTGCCCAGATTGTGGTAAATTTGTACCAGAATTTATCATGTGTCCCATTGGTTGACCAGGTAATGGAGGTGGCATTTGTGAATTTGGTAAATTTTGTTGTCCTAATAATGGTGGCCTATTAAAGCCCTGTTGAGTTGTTAATGAAGGTGGGGCACCACTTTGCTGGCCTGGTATTGGAGGTGGACCAAAGGAATGACCAGATTTTTGTTGTCCTTGTAATGAAGAATAATGTTGTCCTGGTAAGGGTGGTGTAGAGATAGGAGGACCAGACAATGTTTGTTGAGTTTGTGACAGTGGATTTGATAAATTTTGTTTTGGTGGTCCTATTAAATTTTGTTGTCCATGTGTACCTTGCATGAGCATGTTGTTATGTATTTGTTGATTTGATAATGGAGGCTCTGATATATTTGTTTGACCCGGTATTATTGGGTTAGAGAGATTTTGCTGCCCAGGCAAAGATAGACTAGATACATTTTGTTGCCCCTGTAATGGTGGAACTGTAGATCTCTGCCCCATTGGTGGCTTAGGAAAATTCGATTGTTCAGATGTATCAGTAACGTTCATTTGACCAGGTTGATGTTGATTTAAAGACAATCCTGCATTGAATGCTTGTTCAGGCTGTGAAGTTTGTCCAGTATAATAATGGCTAGAAGTAGTCCCTGTAGAATGTCCTGAAAATGGAAGACCAGTAAGCTGTGGTGTAGAAGCTTTTAAAGCTGCTTTTTGCTCTTGCACATTCTGTCCAGAAATAGCTGATCCAGATTTTCCACCAGGATCAGTTTGCCCTGTGGAACCTGTTAAAGTAAAGGAAATTTAATTTTCTATTAACTTTAGTGAATGTTAATTGAGTTTTTTATTCTTACCACTCCCTGATGATGTTTCTAATAAATTATTAAAACCATTCACATTTGAAGGTGTAGATATTGTCGGACTGTTCTTTCCAGGTAAAGGTGGTGGAGGGAAATTTTGCTGTGATACAAAATGAAAACTAATGCATCAAGTACTTTATAAGTATGTTCATGTCATATAAAGGGGGGTTGGTAACTGGTGGTACAAGCGGAAAGGGGGTGATTCTGTGCGAAAAAAGAAGACGAAAATATAGAATAAAAATTTTTCGTTCGAGGCTTCGTTTTCGAGAAAATCGACTTTACGCGTGCGATATGTTATAACGGATCTCACTGTAGATCGTTGTCTCGATGGAAAAATTAAAAAAAAATTAAAAAAGAATTTTTATTCTATATTTTCGACTTCTTTTTTCATATAGAATCACCCCCTTTCCGCTTGTACCACCAGTTACCAACCACCCTGTATAAACTGTATGATTACCACAGATGATGGTCTTTGTTGATCTCCCAAAGACATATTTGACATTTGATTAACTATATTATTTTGACTTGCTGGAGGTGGTATAATATGTGGATTGTTTGTAGATAATTCATATTGAGTATTTCCTAAACAAAAGTTATTTTGTTATAAAAATAAACATATTCTAAGAAAGAAGAATAAAAGTAAATCATATTACCTTGTGTTTGTATATTATTCACATAATATGGTGCTTGAGGTTGATGTAAATTAGTAAGGGGAGGTCCTTGCATTGTTTTTTGAGAAGCATATAATTGTGAATTCATTGGGGGTCTTTTTAACATATTTGATGGAACATTAGAATTTACTTCTCCATATGGAGATGAAGTTGGAGGACCAGAGAAATAACTAGGTTGCTGTTGTGACTGTTGCTGCTGTTGTGACTGTTGCTGCTGTATATATTGTGGATTCATTTTTGATCCTAAAAAGAGAACAAATTATTTTTGTAAATGTTTTTCTTTATACTATAATTTTACTATTTTAATTATCTCAAAAAATTTAATTATTTCAGAGAATATATGATCTTATCGTTATTCAAAACCGAATTAAGTCATTTTCTGACACTAAGTTTTTTAATGTCTATAAAGCATACATGAAAAAATTAAATTTTCTAAAAATAATAAACAGACTTATATTTATGAAACATATAACTTTAATGCATAAACTAAGATTGCGTAATGTTATAAGTGACACGTTCCATAGCACAATTACAAATTCATAAATTAAAGATAGACATTCAAAATATGTCACATATTGACAGACATAAGATAACCTATACAAAATTAAATATGTGATTATCGTACACCATATTGGACGTTGATTTTAAATGAATCTTATATGCTCATTACTTAGTGACCTTCAGTCTATGTCGTAAATTATTAACAAATGTTACTTTAGAGTAGTAAAATAGAATAAGCCATTTTGCACAGAGTAATGCTTATAAACGAGTCTTTCGAATGAGTAATTTACAAAATGTTTTTGTAATATAAATTACTTACGTTATGTCATTAAACGTACTTGAACCATAACAAAGGTTAATATTTCCACAAATGTTTACACTAAATGAAGAAAATATATTTCGCTGCAATAGTGACTGCTGCCGATGCCACGTAAGGTGGCATTGCGCATGCGCTTAATGCACGCTGACGAGACACGTCATAATAAAAAATTAGAGCATTGTAAAAAGGACATTTAAATAAAAACACGAATATATTTTGTTCCACCATGTATTTATTATTATAATAAAATTACTGAAATAGTTGAATAAGCGGTGAACGACGAGTAACTGGTCGAATATTTTCACTTCTTTAATAAAAGATGGTGCGCTTTGTAACTTTATTGTTAATCAGTTGGTATCTATACAAGCGCATGAATTTAAAAAATTGTTAAGATTACTGTTCTTATAAAATATTTGAAATTTATTCGAGGATAAAGTTTAATAGATATTTTTATTTATCTATTCCTTTAATTATGCTGAAAAATCAAAATATAACAAGGGAATGTAATTAACTTATATGTACAATAATATTTTTAAATTACCTCTAGTGTTAGATTGCCATATAAATGAATTAAGTAGACGAGTTTGATTAAATCAGTGATACTCCATGTAAAACTCAGTATTACATCAGGTGCATAAAATGTGTTAAAAGTATGGTTATAGATGATACACACATGTAGACATATATATCCAATATATATTATTGTCATGAGTTTGAATCGAAAACTATATGCTTCATTTAAAAGTAACATTGTTTTGTGTAATTCGAATCGAAGCCATTTTAATAATCTATATCTGGAAACTAAATTTCAACATAAGCCATTCGTTTTAATGTAAAATAATTTGCAAAAATGTCTATTACAATAGAAACATACCATTGTTCATATCGGACATCTCAGAGATAGAAATGAAATGTTTTCCTTTTGTAATAATATTTAATATCGTATTTATTTGCATAAATCTAATCTCAATTTTATACATAAATACAGTAAAAGAACATATTACTATTACACAAACAAAATCGGGTAATCTATCAATTACCCATATAAGAAGATATATAAAGTCTGAATCGTTATCCAATAACCCATAGTAATCCATTAAATTACAAGTTAGTACTACAAATATCGCAGTAGTTATTCTAACAATATCATTTTTCATACATAAAGAATGATCGATCTCTATATTTACGAACATTGCGCTTTCGTCAACGGTATTTAACTGTTCGAATACTTCTTTTACTTTTGAGCATTTGTACATACTTGAAATTATTATTATAGGATACGAAAGTATATTTAAGTAAACTCGAACATATCTAAGTAAGAACGTGTCATTTATAGAACGAAATTTATCAAACATGTCAAATATATAATATAAAAACTGCCAATGACAAAACCAATAAAGCGCCACTAATATAGATACATATAAATAATTTGGAAATGCAATTCTGAAAAATTTGATAGGATATAAACCTGCAAAGAAAAGATATTCAAAACCTGATATGAAAGTAAATTTTTAAAAAATAATATGATTCTTTCTTTAAATTAATTTTTATAATCTTATATTTTCTGATAATTTATTTCATAATTTTTATTATTTAGTCAATTCCTTACCTAATAATTTTGTTATACTCAATAGTAACCAAGATTCTTGGTAAATATTAGAAGGGCAGAACAACTTCATGATTATGTTTCTTCGCGGTGAAAGTTTCAACTAAATAGATTGAAATCATAATCCGCATTATGTTACATTAGCGCATTAAACTTGTCAATAGTTTCACTTGCGTGTCAGTTGATATTGAATAATTAACCAGGAATTTTACAACACTCGATTTATGATTAGTATCAGTAGATATACAATTACTACTTTGTAATTGATCAATTATATTTTGCTCGTATTAAATACTACACACTTTTATTATAAATATTATTATAATGTTATATTAAATTAAATTGAATTAAATAATTAATTTCGTAAAAGTAATGTTTGTAAATTAAACAAATAAAACTATATTATAATATTGTCAGAGAGATATCATATATATATATATTTTTATTATATTATATATATTATAATACAAATATATCTGTCCTTGTCCAGGTATATATCTTTAGTAATTGAATTTTTAGATAGATGTTAATATTGCAAAGAATAAGTCAAAACGAAAAGAAAATAGATAAGCATTATTTAAAGGAAATTATGTATTTAATAATCATATTAAAATATTTCTTTATATACAATCTTTTGTGTCGTGTTGTCTACAAGTAATAGCGTCAGATTATTCACATTATTGAATCATGAACAGGCTTCTTAGAGTTGGCCGCGAGAGAAACGTTTGTACCGTGAATCTACAGCTGAGTATTTTAATGTTTGTCCTTGGGCCTTGTTTATATATATAATAAATAAAGAAGCATAAGAATTATGTATTTTAATACAAATTATTATGAATGCCCGTTCCGGTGAAAATACAAGTGAGATTATTTTTATCCTAATTGCAAGATATAAGACGTAAGACATGTCTCATGTTCCCTACTATCGCATACAACACTCGAACCTATTCCGAGTACAGCCGAAGAATGACGATCGTTCTGTTCGGGCTATCCCTCACCGTTGCGTCACCAATGAATGTGTAACTTATTCATTCTAAATTTTTTAAATCACATTCTGTATCAAATGATTCAAACACAATCTAAATTGATTCAGTAGCTCTTAAGTTATAAGCGAACAAACATAAAAATACTTTGCGTTTTATATGTATGTACGTATATGTATATAAAGCAATATATCCTAAGTAATATTAAGCATAAGTAGATGTTTATATGTATATAATAAAATATTATAATAATAATAATGAATAATGAAAAGATATTGTAATAATAATAAATAAATTAAAAAAGGTTCCAGAGGTCTAGTTTATACATCGGCCGTTAGTCATAACGCTGCGATTGATTTGTTAGATTTTCACATTTAATGCCACCAGATGTTATATAAAGTTATAAATATAATATAAAGAAAAGATATAAATTAAACTACCTTCATAAACTTTTCCAACGCATTTAAAATAAAGATGCAGTATTTCAAATAGTATAAAAGAATGTTGTTTAAATAAATTTAGATTTACATAATATAGAATTCATAGATATTTTCAATTTTACTTTAGAACTAAACCTAAAGTTAACCTCAATCTAGGAAAAATCTCAAAAAACCTCGTCATTTTTATTTCGCGAGTCGCCCACTAGAGTTAAATATAACCTTAACCCAAACCATTTCTCAACAACATAAATTAAGTTGGATTATAGCAGCAGTATTAATCCGGCTGCTATGAGGCGGCTGAATTAATAGAACTGTTAATTCAACTCAGCTTAAAAACTGAGGCCGAGCGGTGAGATATTTTTGCGTAGAATTCGAAAACTAAAGACGACCGCCGGTTATATGTACAGATAAAAGTTGTTGAAACTGTCGAGTCGTATGACATATTTCAAAATCATCGAAATCAGAAAAAATGCTCTTCATTGACAACTTTATCGGTTTAGCTTTAGGGGAATCGCAGAATGGAAAAGATGAAGTTTTCTGGAGTTTTTGTTAAATTAAGGGTAGGACTAGTCCTAAGGTAAAATAAAAAATATTTTTTATGCTTTGCGACATTTCTTTTGTGACATTTTACTCATGTAAAAAGTCCTTTTTGATATATTACAGTTTGAAAAACTAACCAATTTGCTCACTATTGCTATAGACCTCTGGTGGCAGAGTGAGGAAGTTTCCAGAGGATTTTCTCGAAGTCGATATTACAGAACGTCTGACACAAGATCCCATATAATGTCACATCATCAAATCTGTTTTGTACTTATTCAACGTTAATATGTTCACGATTATGCTGTATAAGTAAATATGCTTATAACAGCTTATAAGTGTGCTTATCAAATTTAATGTCAATATTAATCCCAAATCAGTTTTACTCTATTTATCATTTTCTTTTGACATTTCCTTCAATATAAAATTTGATAAGATTACAATCACAGATGAGTGAAAAGGAAACAAGTAATATAAATACTTTGACATATGTATTTAGCTATTTGTTTGTAATATTTAATATAAACAATAATAATGTGTATGATACAGAAATATGTTTTGTAACATGTCTCATTATCTTCGCGTAATTTTATTTTGCAGATCAGAACCGTTCTATGCAAAAGGTTTTATTAGGTCATGACCCTGGATGGAACGATCCTCCGAAATGGATATATTGTACTGGACAAAGTTCTATAACATCTACTAAGCGAGTACTGAACAAGAGGGTAGCATTTCCAATGGGATCTATACAAGCTATAGATAAACAATCTTCTGTAAACAAGCCATTAAACATGCCACCACATGTACAAGGTAGTACTGATCAATTAACAGCACCACATCCTCCATTGTTATGTCCTTCAAACAAAAATATAGAAGCAGACAATATAGAGATTGATAAAGAGGAGGCATTAAACAATGTTTTGAAAAATTTGGAAACAGTAATTAGTGAGCATATATTGGAAAATGGTAGAATTAAGGAGGTAAAGAAGAGATTAGATATATTGAAGGCTGTATGGCTTGAAGATAAATTAAATAATGTGATATACAAGAATGTTTTAGATTTGTCTACAGGTTAGTTTTGTGACTAATCATTTCTTAAATACATTATTTTTTTTGGAGGTAGAAGAATAATGGAAAATTTGTTTCCAGCTTTACGAGAGGGGAATATTAAAAAAGCTGATGAGATACATGTTTCATTAATGATGCAACATGCTAGTCTGTGTAGTGCATGGATGCCTGGGATTAGGCATATTATTTTAGAATTGGAAACCAAAATGAAAAATTCAAATGTAACACAATCTCAAAGCCCTGAATTACATTTGTTATCTACTGGAGAGAACAAGTAAATGAAGATTCCTTGGGTATATAATATTTGCATGCAGTAACTGTTTTGCGATAATTATTGACATTATTTTTTCGCTTATAAGTTTATATATTAATTGATGTTATTAAAAAGTGCACAGCAAAAAGAAACTATTGATATTATGAATGTGACAAATTTTATTATAATAAAACAAATCCCATTAAATTTATATAATGTGTATTGTACTTCTGACATCTATTGATAACGGGGATGTTGCGACACACAACTAACTAACGACACGACTGATCGGTTGGTATCGCGAGCCTTGAACGTTATTAGCGCCCAAGGTGGAGGATTATAATAAATGTAAAGAGCGAGGTTTAGTTCACCTTATTTATTCCACTCAATACTCTGAATACAACTGTCTTTAAGTTCACTGAGTTCCACTTAATACTCTGACTACAACTGTCTTTAATTCACTGGCTATCCTGTTAAATATAATGTTCACTGACTGAATACTGTTACGTGTTGACTCTTAGAATACTGCTGCAAGAGTGAATCTTGGGGATGTTGCTGTCGTAGAGGAAGGTTCGTGGTGGGTGTGTCTCAAGTCTGTTCCTAACTGATCATTGGGTAAAGACGTATGTTTGAGGATTGGCCTGCCTTCGTGAAGGTTCGCGCGCAGGTGCCCTTACACTTGGGGAAAATAAAGAAGTTTCGTGATTTAAGAGTCTTTTCCGTGGGGTCCTAAAGTACCTTGACTGTACAATAGGCCCACTGTTTATGATGGGTCCGCACTAGGGTAGCGTAGACCCTTGACGGTCGTCCTGCCCAAGGATCGCATCTATTTCACATAAAGCGTCACGGCAATTACCAGGCGGTCACTCCAAATCCCGAACAGTGGAAGTTTCTTGTAAGACGAACTCAACGCATTTTACAATGCTTGACATCAAAATGGTAAAAAATCAATATTCCGATTTTATAATATATTATTATTCATATATATTATTCATATTTTTAAATGCGTACATTCAATGAATGTATGTATATATTGAAAATATGGCTCATCATCTTCAATTTCACGCCTTTCATCAGATGGTAAATGAAACATAAAATATTAAATTATGTATAATATAGTTTTCTAATTTACCGCTACATTTTCATTTCGTTTTTCGTAGATATGCTTTCCGCTTTTCATTCCGACAGTATTTATAATCATTGATATTGAACACTATCAATACATCTATTAGGGGAGTGGTTTCATGTAGAAAAACTCAAATTGTTGAATTTCGGCTACTATCGGGAAATTAGCAGTAATGCTGTAATGATTGATTTAATTGATCGATTTATGTAATCGGAAAATAGTCGTGTTCAGTTAAAAAGTTTGAACGTTCTCTAAACGTTTTGAAAATTAAATCACTTTACTATCACACATCAATCAATTCAAGAGTCTAGAGAGAATAGGGTCATTTGGTGAGTACAATTCATTTAACACTTGTGTTAAATATACAGGACCTTCATAGTAAAAATCAAAGACACATACTCTGAAGTTAAAGAAATCAAGGCAGGAGTTCCGCAAGGAAGTGTCCTAGGACCAATTTTATACACATTATACACGGCCAACATACCAACAACTAACAATAGCAAAATACTGACATTCGCGGATGACACAGCTGTACTAGTCAGGCACACTAACCCTGGAACAGCAGTTAAATTACTACAAGAACATATCACAAAAATAGAAAAGTGGCTTCAAGCAAAACAAATTAAAGCAAACCCCGATAAATGCAAATACATTACATTCACACTGCAAAAACAGAAACCACCAAACATTATACTAAACGGCACACACATAATACAAACAAGGCAAGTCAAATACCTAGGACTCCACTTAGATACATGATTCACATGGAAACAGCATATTAAAGCAATAATAGACAAAATACAGATGGCAAGGAGACAAATGTACTGGCTAAAAAATCCAAACTAAGTCTAGAAAACAAACTAAAAATATATAAAATGGTCATAAAGCCA